ACTTAGCTGGGCGTGGTGGCGTCCGCCTGTAATCCCTGCTATTCAGGAGGCTGAGGCAGGAGAATCGCTTGAACCCTGGAGGTGGAGGTTGCATTGAGCCAAGATTGTGCCATTGCACTCCAGCCTGGGCAACAAGAGCAAAACTCCATCTCAAAAAAAAGAAAAAAAATTTGGCCAGGCACGGTGGCTCATGCCTGTAATCCCAGCACTTTGGGAGGCCAAGATGGCTGGATCACGAGGTCAGGTGATCAAGACAGTCCTGGCCAACATGGTGAAACCCCATTTTTACTAAAAATACAAAAAATTAGCTGGGCATGGCAGCATGCACCTGTAGTCCCAGCTATTAGGGAGGCTGAGGCAGAATTGCTTGAACCCGGAAGGCAGAGGCTGCAGTGAGTCGTGATTGTGCCACCGTACTCCAGCCTGGCTGACAGAGTGAGACTCCATCTCAAAAGAAAAAAAAAAAAAAAGAATTTCACTATGGTGTCAGCACAGTACTAGACCAAGTGCAGGGCCCTTCTGAGTGTGCAGCCATGAGCAGCCAGGCAGGTACACAGTCAGGAAACCCACCCTTCAAGGCAGCCACAGCTGACAGTTATCTGTCACCGTCTTTCTGCCAGGCACTTGCCAACCCCTTTAAATGACTTATTGCATCATCACCACAACCATTTGAGGCAGATTATCTTACTATCTTTCTTTACAGATGAAAAAATGGAGGCTGAGATAAGATGGGTCCCAGCAGTCCTTGGAGACAGGCTTCAGCCCCGTTGACTGTTCTTACTTCAGAGTCCAACCTTTTATTCCCTACACTTTTCTGACCTCTTGAGAAAATCCAGATTGCACCATATCCTCCTTTCCAAAGGTCCTGTTTGCCTCCCACCTGGGCACTGGACTATTGGCCCCGCCCTTCAGTTTCTCTCTTGCATGGCAGCCAGGACAGCACCCAGGGCAGAGGTCTGACTTCATCTCTCCTCTGCTTGAAACCCTTCACTGGGACTCTATGGCCTAGGGGTAAAACCCAGACCCTCCAATGTGCCATCCAAGGCCCTTGAGAGCTCCAACAGCCTATGGCCCCATCTGCCTCTCTGTTTCAGTCCAGCCATTCCTACCTGCTAATGTGACTTGCTTTCACTCGCAGTACTGTGACTTCCCTTTGTCTTTGCTTCCACTGTCCCCTCTGTCTGGGGCACAACTATGAAGACTGCTGACCTCAGGGCATGTGGCAGAGTCCTGGGCACACTGCCCACCCAGCATTTTACAACATGACTTGGAATGATGTTTCCTAGCAGAGCCATAACCCTAACAAACTGCCAGGTGGGGTCTGGGGTCTGAGCAGAGCATTCCAGTCTCCAGGAAGATTCCATCTCTGCTCTGCCCTTGGGTTTTGTCTCATCAAGATTTGCCTTTTCTCCATGGTGGTCTTGACATGCCTATAACTTGAAACCTTTTGATTTCACACATTTGCAGGTTTTACAGGAAAAGTGGCACAAAAATGTGCTTTTAACTTTTTGCGAAATATTCCTTTTCTTTTTCTTCATTGTTCTTAATACAAGACTTTAATATTATTTGAGTAACATTTACAGGACATTCAACTCAAACATTATTCTGAAGAGTAATAATAGCAGAGTGTTGTGCTCTGATGTTATCAGGATAGTGAACGTTCCTATTGCTAGTGCTAAGGAGGGTGAGTTCTGTACTAATTCTCTTTCATGGATATGGTTTGCTCAGAGAAAATAAAACCCCAAGACCCAATACAACAACAACAAAAACGACATTTGCAATCTCCACCAAAAGTTGCAGGGTGTTCAAATCCAGGGGTGCTTTTGTCCCCAGATCTCCTGTTTGGGGAAGCTTCTTGGGCCATCTTGTTAATTTGTCTCTCCAATTAGAAGTATATACATATATTAATAATTAGCTGTGGGTATCTGCTTACAAAACATCCAGTGTTGCTCACAGAACGTTGTAAACCGGCACAATGGAGAGGATCCAGTTACGCCAGCTAACACCCTAGCTGGATAACGTGAGCTGGTGCTATCTCAAGGATGCTGCCCTCCACCTACGCACCCACACCAACAAGCGCGGTGCGGGGGTAGTTAGTGGCACAGGGTGGGAGACAGGCCACAGGGATCTGGATGGTAGCAGTGTGTCCCTGAAAGCTTTGGGTTGTGTAATATGAACAGTGCGGCTAAGCTTGTTTGCTCAGAGTCTTGATTCCTTGACCTTTCTCAATCAACACTGAAGGTGGGGCAGAAGGGTCCTGTTTTTAAGGACCCTTGAGCTCCGGGTCCACGTGTCTGGCTGAAATCCTTAAGAATTTTATCTTTTGGGCTAGGGGTGGTGGCTTACGACTGTAATCCCAGCCCTTTGGGAGGCTGAGGCATGAGGATCACGTAAGCTGAAGAGTTCAAGATCAGCCTGGGCAACATGGTGAGACTCATCTCTTAAAAACAAAAGTGGGCCAGGTGTGGTGGCTCATGCCTGTAATCTCATACCTTTGGGAGGCGGAGGTGGGCAGATCATTTGAGGCCAAGAGTTCATGAAACCCTTGCCTCAACCTGCTGAGGTTGTCTCCGCCATCTCAGACTCTTACGAAGGAAATTGGGCCCAGATCCAGGTATCTGGGACCTGAGGGCATCCCCCATTACTCCCAGGGCAGGGGATGATTACTGCCAGATATAAGCCAGACAGACTGAGAGGCACGTTCTACACAGCCCACGGGGAAAACTGCAGCCAGCTGGTGACTATGGGTCATGGTTTTTTATTTGTCTGCTTCTCCACCACCGCCCCAGGAGGCAGAGTCAGGGAAAGAAAGTAGGGAGCCTACATTCAGGGGCTCTGTTATTCCTGCCACACGGTATAAGGACAAGGAACAACTGTAATGCTCCTCAAAGCACAAGTGTTAAACAAAGTCAAACTTCATTTTTTAGTGTCAGCTGGAATCAGACAGGTGACAAGCCCCTCTTCATCCCACACTACCATAAGCAAGTTACTGAAGCTTTCTCTGCCTCCTTTTTTTTCCACCTGCCGGGTGGAGTTAATTCTGCTACAACTGCAAGAGCCCTTTGGGGACTGAGTGAGATAATACAGCCATAACCAGAACACCCAAAGCCCTGAAGAGTTAGGAGAGACCCCTGTGAGATTCCTGCTCACCATCACTTTGTTCCCAGCCTCAGTGAGTCTGGGCCCCACTTTTGCCAGGGCATGAACGAGCCTGCCCCTTTCTTCTGCTCCATGATGCACCTGCTACGAAGCTCCTTACTTCACTGCCTCATGAAGGTATGCCCTATGGCCACATAGTGGTAGAGATGTGGCCCTCACCTTGTCAGCTGCTCCACCTCCAGCCTCTTCTGTGTTCTCTCTACCCTATTGGGCTCTAGGGCTTCTTCTCTATTCCACAGAGCAGCACAAAGCCAGGCTATGATGTGCAATCGCTCATCACCAACCCTTTGGAGATAAGCTGGTGTAGCGGTAGCAGAGTGCAGGGCAGGCAAGTCCCCGGCAGAGACAACTTAATTGCTTTAAGTTTCTCAGCCACTTCTGCCATAGGAAACACCTCCCTAACCCCTCTCCTTGGATGTTTTGAATTCTACCTACTACTTTGTTTCTAGAGCTCACTCTCCCTAGCAAGACTCAGCTCATCTGATATCCTAGAATGTCAGAGTATTCATGCATACGGTTTGGAGTGGAGAAGACCTCCACTGAGCCGGAGAGTCCCCCTGTTGTAGTCCTGTGGTTGGATGGCTGCTCAGTGGGCTTTGACCTTGGCAAAGGGAGTAGGAATGGATGCAGGGAGACTTCACCACTGAGATGCATGTGTCAGGGACAACATTGATCGGTCACTTTGGCAAAATCCTTTAAGTCGTCACTCTTCTGATCTTTGTTTTATTCTTTGGGGGCGCTTGGCTATCTGCTTATATTTCATTGTGAGGTGCTGAAAGGCTATGTGGAAGAATTCTGCATGTGGGTAGGCCTTGCTGATGGGTGGGCCTCACTTTAGGACAGTGTTTCTCAACCTCAGCATTAGTGACATTTTGGACCAGAGAATTCTTCATTGTGTGAAACTGTCTTTTGAGTTGTAAGATGTTTAGCAGCATCGTTGGCCTCTGTGTGATAGATACCTGTAACACCCACCTCCTACCAGGTGAGGCAACCCACAGCATCTCCAGGCTCTGTTAAATGTACCAAGAGAAGACCGGATCGGAGGTGGGACGGTGTCCCTCAAGTTTAAGACCCACTGCTGTAGGGTGATGAGGCAAGGATAAGACACCCACTCCCAGTGTTTATGGGCCTTTTCTTCTGGGCAGGGCAGAATTCCCAGAGAAAAATCTTCCCATTTTCCCAGAGAATAGTGTTTTGGGAGTTGAGGAAGAGAAGGCAGCTTGGAGTTCTGCTCTTCAGGAGGCGAATTTTCACTCGGTTCTCTTGTTTTCATAGGGTTTCTTGTCTTGGCCTTGGCCATGTATACGACCCCTCAGGCCAGAGCTTTCTACCATGTCGGCCTCTTAGAGAGCCAACACTGAATCTGCAGAAGTGGGAAACAAGTAGAAAAACCTGGGGTCTAACTAGTTTTTTTTTGTTTGTTTAGAAGAACAGCTTCATGGAGGCATAATGACCATACTACAAAATTTACCCTTTTAAAGTGCACAATTCTCTGTTTTTTCAGTATGTTCATACATCTGTCTCTGGTTTTCACAGGTGACTGTTTCACTAAGTTTTTCTAATTTGGTGCTGACTGTGATTATAGTTTACACTTTCCCTTTCAGTAATGTCAGAGGCGTTTGAACCAGAGCAACTCCATGTTGAATAGAAGCTGGGCAAAATAGGGCTAAGATCTACTGGTTTCATTCCCAGGAGGTTAGGCATTCTAAGTCACAGAATGAAATAGGAGGTAGGTACAAGCTACGAGTCATAATGACCTTGCTGAGCCCAGCATGGTGGCTCATGCCTCTAATCTCAGCACTTTGGGAGGCCAAGGTGGAGAGATCACCTGAGGTCAGGAGTTTGAGCCAGGCTGACAACATGGTGAAACCCCGTCTCTACTAAAAATACAAAAATTAATCTGGCGTGGAGGTGCACCTGTAGTCTCACCTACTCGGGAGGCTCAGGCATAAGAACTGCTTGAACCCAGGAGGTGGAGGTTACAGTGTGAGCCAAGATCATGCCACTGCATTCCAGCCTGGGTGACAGCTCCAGTCTCAAAAACAAACAAACCTTGCTGATAAAACAGCATGCCATAAAGAAGCCAGCCAAAACCCACCAAAAGCAAGATGGCCAGTTAAGTGACCTCTGGTTGTCCTCACTGCTCCTTATATGCTTGTTACAATATTTTAGCATGCTAAAAGTGCCTTTTTTTTAGCAGCATTAAAGTTCACAAATGCCATGGTAATGTCCAGAAGTTACCCTATATAGTCTAAAAGGGGGAGGAACCCTCAGTTCCGGGAACTGCCCACCCCTTTTGTGGAAAACTCATGATTAATCCACCCCTTGTTTAGCATATAATCAGGAAGTAACTATAATCAGTTGAGTGGCTCAGGCTGCTGCTCTGCCTATGGAGTAGCCATTCTTTATTCCTTTGCTTTCTTAATAAACTTGCGTTCACTTTACTTTATGGAATTGTCCAGAATTTTGCCCGAGGTCCAATAACTCTCTCTTGGGGTCTAGATCAGCACCCCTTTCCAGCAACAGTAACACCTTTCTGGTAAATGTTCTCAGCCACATATGTGCGAGTCCCTTTAAGACCAGAAGCAGGAGAAGTGGCTCAGGGTTTGGGGCTTCATTGCCCCTGCGGTCCAGGAACCCATTCCCACACCTCTGGCCCCCCAGAGGCCTCAGGACTGTGCGGAGGGCCAGGGGCTCCGGATGCCAGATGCTCACCTCCCTATGGAAGATGCTCCCACCGGCTCCATGACAGTTTACAGATGCCATGGCAATGTCAGAAAGTTACCCTCTGTGGTCTCAAAGGGGGAGGAA